CCAGGCAGCCGGGCCCGGCCCCTCCTGGCAGGAGCGTGTCCGCCCCACGCGTGTCTCTGCCCACCCGGGCCCTGCCCGCTCCGCGCTGCCCCCGGACCCACGGCGCTGCCCCGCGGGCTGCAGGGCTGGAGCAGCCTCCGCGCTGTGCTCCCGGCCCCGGCCAAGGCTCCGCTGCAAAAACAAAGGTTTCCCGGGCTGGGGCAGGAAGGGGCGGCTCCTCCCGGGGCCTGGCCCTGCCCCGCCGGGCCCCTCGCAGGGGGTTTGTGACACTCGGGGAATCGGGGAATCCTCAACCTGGAGGGGGCAGGAGACTGGCTGGATCTTACCAGGAGAAAAGCAGGGGGAGGGGCTGGTTTTGCTGAATCATCAGACTAAGGAGACCCCGGCAGAGAATGCAGAGACCACATTTCAGTTCAGCGTTGGAGATGTGACACAACACATGTACAATCACCTTCCTCTAAAGCGTCTAAATCCCATGGGCACAACTCTCCAGTGCACAGCCTGTGAGCTCAGCCAACTAAGGAGAGCAGCACTGTGAATGAGTCATGGAGGCATCTACCTGTACAGCAAAGTGGCTCAGTGGAAGTGTGCTGGGCCCATAACCTAGAGTTCAAGGGATCACAACCCTCCTTTGCTAGCCCGTCTTTTATTAGTTACAGCCCTGGAAATAATTCCACCTGCCTTTATTTGTTCCTGAGAGAAAAGAGGAGCAAATTCTTTCACTGTTTGCTTCCACAGCGATTAAAGGAAGGAATAAACCCCCAGCAGAGCCCTACCCCACAGACCCCACAGGGCTTCCCCTGCCTGCAGTGGTCAAAGTGGCAGCAGGGCCCCTGGGGCTTCCCCCTCCCCCGTGGCACAATGTGCCCTTTGGGACTTTCCCCCTCCCCACCCAGCAGTGGTGCTGTGGGCCCCCTGGACTTCCGCCCCCCACAAGATTCAATCAGGGGTATTTATGGTATAGGTCGGGGGCCATGATTTTTTGTTTCTTGTCCATGAGCTGTCTATGACATTTACTAAAAATACTCGTGATTAAATCATAACCTTAGCTATGCCTCCAGTCACATGGTTTCTTCTGCAGCAGGGCATCCTTTCCTGGAAGAGCAGTGTGGTATTTCCTGGGCAGAGGCAGCCTGATGCATACTCTGCAAGCCATCTGCAAGATTCAAACTTTACTCCTGGGTGCAGAATCTCCTTAGGAGTGAAACCTACTCAAGGAACCTTCTTGGATTGTCACTGCTTGGTTAACCACTCAGCCACCACACCAATGCTCAGAGAGAGTGCCAAGCCCTACTGCTATGCGGGGCTGGGGTTGGGTCATACACATTCAGACTATACACTCCCCCAGCTCCAAACCACTGCTGATTTCCCATTTAGGACATTAGCCTTTACTGACAAGGTTTGTCTGTGTTCTTTCTTTTAGCTCACGTTGCTAGTTAGAAGGATCAGTATTGATTTTTTCCCAAAAAATACACAACCCCCTAAACCTGCTTTTAGCAATCAGAATAATTTAGTGTCACCTTATTTTTGCCTGTCCCAGTACAAAAGAAGAGGCTTTTGTGGGTTTCCTGACTCAGAGGATGAAAATGAACGTGTGTCAGTCCGTTCTGCAGTGGATCGTTATCGAACGGAACCCGTCATTGGCATTGGTAGTGTAGACACAGCCTCAGACTCGGTGCTTGCGAGTGGGGAAGTGTTGCCTCTAGAGGCACCCAGGGGTGGTGTGGAATTGTCCCAGGTCACTGGGTGGGGGCTTGAGCAGGTTCTGTGTTGTTGAAAAAGAACCCGAGATATTGAACCCGGCCTGTGTTGCTGCCCACTCCAACTGGCTGAAGGGTCACAGAAAGAAGCAGGGGGGGAGGGGAGGAGCACCATGAATTTCTGCAACTATTCAGTGAGGCAGGGGCCTGGCAGGAAGGAAATACCTGTGCAAGCCCCCTTGGCAAAGAGGGGGATCTGTGATGTCCTCTGCACTGGAGATACAGGCCAGGGATGGGGCAGTAAATGGAGAGGGGCAGATTTGGGAGTTGGGAACCCCTCTCCCCAGGTATTTCCCCTGCAGGCCTTTTTCAGTGTCTCTCTCTCCTCTTTCCCTGTCTAACCCAGCGGTTCTCAAACTTTTTGAACTGATGACCCATTTCACAAAGCAAGCATCTGAGTGTGACCCCCCCCTTGTCAATTCAAAACACATTTTTTATATTTAACATTATTTAAAATGCTTAATTTATAACCCGGTTCTTTAAAATTAATTTAACTTTTCTCACCACTTTTAAATTAAGCCTAAAATACACTTTGATTGAATTATTGTTAAAAGCAGAATTTTAAAAAAAATACTGTTTAATACTGGAGCTGTGAAGACATTTGTCAATATCACTTTTCTCAGCAGACTTTGCGCTCCATTGCCACCCTCACTTCTGTGCTGCTGTCGCTGCCTGCAGAGCTGGGGGCTTGTGACCTCCACATAATAACCTCGCAGCCCCCCCCCCCCCGGGGCTGTAACCCCCAGTCTGAGAACTCCTGGGCTGCCCCCTTCCCCCTCTGGCTGGGACACTTGATCCCTGTCCCGTTTCCCGGGGGGCACGTGCTCTCCTGGAGCTGGATCGGCCCCTCCTGAGGGGAGCCAGAGGGGGGGGGGGGGCGGGCGAGCGCTGCAGCCCGGGTGGGGTTTGCAGGGCACAGGAAGGGGCTGGAGCAGCTGGGAGCGGTGGGTGCCGGGAGGAAGGAGGCAGGAGCCGGGAGAACAAAGAACCGAGAGCAGCAGACCCCGGGCAGCTCCTGAGAGACCCGACGCTTGTGACCTGGGAGCTGAACAGTTGCTGCTTCCCCAGCGGAGTCTGTGCTGGGGAGAGCCCGTCATTAACCCCTCCGTGCCCGGCCGGGGGGGGACCTTCTCCGGCTAGAAATCGCCCCGGACTCTGCTGACGGCAACTCCCGAGCTGAGACTCCAGGTGACTGAGACTCTGGGGCTGGGCAGGTGACTGACTCTGCACAGTGTCGTCCCCCCCCATCTCTGCTCCCCGGGTATCCGGGAGCTCAGAGCTGCTGCCATAAAGGCCAGAAGGGATCATGGTCAGCAAGGCTGACCTGCTTCACCAAACCCTTCAATTTCTCCCCTGGCTCTCTATTCTGTCCAGTAACTTGTGTGGATAAAGCAGGTCTTCCTGACTGGTACCCCCTTCCCCGCATGTGCAGAGCGGGGCCAGTCACGGAAAAGAGAGCCCCCAAGAATGGGATGGTGACCACAGTTCCCATCCAGGGGGGTAGGGTGCTAGGAAAGAGGAGGACAAATGGGACGGTGACAGATTTCCAGATCTCTAACCCACTCAGGCAAACTCACTGCAGCATCCCTGCACAGAGTCACCTGTGAACAAGATGAGGAGCAAAGAGAGGAAAAACCAGCCCCTGACTCTCCCTGTTCCCCTGCTGCAGGAGTGAGCTGCCCTGGGGACAGTGTCAGGAGGAATCCCCCCAAAGGGGCTATTTTGGTTCTGGTCTATTCCAGTGTTTAATTCACAGTCTGTTGGTGGGAGGGTTTGAAAATGTCTCGATGGGTTTAGTCCTGGTTGGCGGAGTGGGGGTGGGTGGTGGGGGGAGGACAGGGGCAAGGTCTGTGCTGCACTATGGGGATTGAGCATGTTCCCAGCATGGCAGAATCTGCAATCTGTGTCTGCAGGGAAAGGGCCTGGGGGAATCGTGATGTGAAATGAACTAAAGCCTGTTCTGAAACCTCCACAACTGCCCTTCTCGCCCTGCCAGGCTGCAGAATGATGCCCATGTCTCGCTCCAGCTCATCCCAGCCTCCCATGGGACAGGGAAGAGAAATGGTCACAGTGGAGCTAGCTCAGGTAGGGGTTATTGGGGGGTTGCTGGTGGGTTCCTGCTGGAGGGAGAGGGGCAGTAAATACTGACAAGGTGGCAACTTCTGGGGAGTTAGGGCTGGAGGGGGCAGGGAATACTCTGAGTGAAGAAAGGGAGGGGGACAGAGTGTGACAAACCTGCTGGGACTTGTCTAACGTGGGCCTAGCTCCACGGAACAAATGCTTGGTTGTTGGGGGAGAAAATTCCCTAATTTGTGAAACAGGAAACAGAGAAACCAACTCTCTGGGCAGGGCGGGGAAAACTGACCAGATTTCCAGTGCTGAACCCTCAGCCTGCTAGCCAGAGGCTGGTGTGACATGGAAAGGGGGCACCCACCAGGGAGGTGTAGGGAAGATGTCCCGCCCCTCACATCCAGCTGCTGGCAGTGGGGAGGGTGTTAGGATTCCTACCATGAGGCTGTGCCTGGACCCTACTGGGGGCTCCATCTCCTGTATCAGTCTCTGGGTAGAAGGTGTGTGATGGATCTGCTGGGAGAGACAAGGGGCTCTCTCTTTGTCCCCTTACCCTGATGCCTCCTGGCTGCTCTCAGCAGTGTGGGGATAGGACTTTGCTGACTGTCTCTCTCTCAGAGCATCCATTTGATTGGCTCCTTTCCCCCGTGAATAGTGGGGTTGTGATTGGGGCAGCAGGTTCTGAGTTGGGGGGCTCTTGCTCTTTCAGGGGCTGGTGACCTTCGAGGAGGTGGCTGTGTATTTCACCAGGGAAGAGTGGGCTCTGCTGGACCCCACTCAGAGAGCTCTCTACAGAGCCGTCATGCAGGAGAACTGTCAGAATGTGACCTCACTGGGTAAGGATTCCTGTCACCTCAGTTCTTGGAAGGGGAAATGAAGAGATAAGGTTCATGCCACCCCCACAATGCCACCTCTGCTCTGCCCTGTTTCAGCATCATCCCGACATGCCAGTGACACACATACTAGCCCTCTCTCCTCCACTGTTACAGAACGCTCTGGGAACAGAGCCGTATAGCAGAAAGGCTAACAACTTCTCTTTGCTAAGATAATATTCGGGTTCATCTCTGTCATAGCAAACAGAAGCTTCCTCCCCTGGCCTGCACTCCAGTACTGAACCTCCTGCACGCAACCCATCTGAGACTTGCAAAGTGTTACCACCCCTTTGCCCTCAACCTGAGTTTTCCTTTTCAGTCACTGCCTTCACTTACCCCTCACTAAGCCTCACAGATCACTAGAACCAGAGTGCTGACAATCCCCATGGCAAGAACACACCCTTGGGCACCTTTACTGACAAAGCCTGCAAAACTCAAAATGGAAATGAGGCAGAATTGGCCTTCCCAGTTTCACATGCACCTCTCTTCATAGCACAGTCACTGCTCTGCCAAGCTGCTCCAACCAATCCCTCCATCATCCAGTTACAGCTTCAGCTGACCCGTGCACACAGCTGGAGGGCATGCGGATAAATGCTGGGATTCCCATCTGTGAACACAACACAAACAATGGCACATTCTCTTAGTCTTTCCTTGTATTGATTATAGGTTCATAGATTTTAAGGCCAGATGTGACTATTAGGCCATCTACTTTGATGTCCTTTATACCACAGACCATAGAATTCATCCCGTTACTGCAGCGTTGAGCTGAGTACCTGAATTCCTGTGGCAGTTTGTTAACCTTTGCACTGCCCACACAGAACCAATATCAGTGGTTCTTGCCAGCTGCAGGGTTAAGGGTTGGAGGCAAAGTTAAGGTTGCATTGGAGGGGTGGCGTTTATATTAACTTATCATTTCCTGTTTGTGGAGGTTTAAGTTTAGTCACCGTCCATACTGTGCAAGGCAGGAGGCAGCACTGGGCAATCTTAACTGTGTTAATGTAGCTTATGAGCATTTAGTTTCCTGTTTTAAAAAATGGCTGCTTTTGCCACTCTAGCTGTGTCTATAATTGAGCTTTTGCCAGCAGAGCTATGTTGGATGGTGTGCGTGTGTGCGCATGCGTGTGTGCACTTTTTCACAGCCTTAAACAACAGAGCTGGACTGGCAAAGCTTTTAAGAGCTACCTTAGACCTACCTAACTAGTTCCTCAACAGGCACCTGACAGGCCATCTTTAGGTGAACTAATATGTGCTACCTGGTCTGTGGGATCCCAGTAAAACATTAGACACGCTGTGTCCTCTGCCAGGTGGCATCAAGAGGTCCATGATGAGTCACATCCTCCTCCTTCTCCAATCGCTGCCTTAGAGTGTCCTTAGAATGATCCTGCTCACCCCCATTGCAACCTTCTGTTTGGGTTCCACAGAGCTCCGTCCTTAGTCCCCTTCTTTTCTTCCTCTGCACCTTATTTCTGGGTAATCTCATCCGCACACACACATTCAACTACCATCTCTATGCTCCTAACTCACAGTTCTACCTCTCTGCTCCTGACCTGTCTCCTTCTGTCCCAACTGAAATCTCAGCCTCTCTCTGTCTCTCTCTCTCTCTCATCTCCTCATCGATGTCCAGCCATCAGCTAAAGCTCAACAACTGAAGCAAAGCTCTTACTATTTCCCCCAAACCCTCCCCCCACCTTATTTCTCTACCATCGCAAACAGCACCATTGTCCTGCCTGTCACTGAGGCCCATAACTGTGCAATACCTTTGTCATGGAGCTCCCTCTAGGGCACTGGTTCCCAAACTGGGGGGCATGAAGAAATTCCCAGAGGGACGCAAGGCTGCCCGGTCCTTGAGCTGCCGGCCAGGGAGGCTAGCCCCCAGCCCCTCTCCTCCTGTCCATCCTCCCCCACAGCCATGCAAGCAGCGCAGCTTGTGCCTGCCCACCTCCCAGGCTTTCCAATAAGCCAGTCCTGCCCCTCTGAGTGGCCTGGTAAGGGAGCAGGGGGAGGGGGAGTTGGATATGGGGCAGGAGGTCCTGGGGGGGCAGTTGGGGGACAGGGAGCGGGGGGGTTGGATAGGCGTGGGAGTTCCGGGGGGGGGCTGTTAGGGGGAAGGGGTGTGGATAGGGGTCGGGGCAGTCAGGAGACAGGGAGCAGGGGGGGTTGGATAGGGGGTGGGGTCCCGGATGGGGCGGTCGGGAACAAGGATTGAGGGAGTTGGTAAAGGACAGGTGGGGGGGCGTGAGGGTTTCTCAAAAATTAAAAAGGGGGTGTGATGCCAAAAAGTTTGGGAACCACTGCTCTAGGGCCTCCTATCTAGGCTGTGCCTACACCTTGCATTTTTTTTTGTGTAACTTCCCTAACATCTGGCCTTTCCTATCCATCCGTGCAGCTAGAGCTCTTGTCATCCTCTCCTGTCTCAGTTGCTCCAACATTCTTTTCTCTTACCTCACCTTGCACATCTCCATTCAGAAGGAAAACGCTACCTCCTTGTCCTCGAACATGACCTATGAGAGAAGGTTGAAAGAACTTGGTATGTTTAGTCTTGAGAAAAGAGTGAGGGGAGACCTAAGAACAGTCTTCAAATGTGTCAAAGGTTATTATAAGAGGACAGTGATTAATTGTTCGTCATGTCCACTGAAGGTAGGAGGAGAAGTAATTGGCTTGATCTGCTGCACTGGAGTTTGAGGGTGGGTAATACAAAAAACTTTCCAGGTATAAGGATAGAGAAGTACTGGAATAGATTACAAAGAGAGGTTGTGGAATCCTTGTCACAGGAGGGTTTTAAGAACAGGTCAGATGAACTTATGGCATACTTATACCTGATCCTGCCACAGGGCTACGGGAATGGAGTTGACGACCTCTTGAGGTCCTTCCAGCCCTATATTTGAAGATTTTATGATTCATTGCCTTAGCCCTTCGCTTTGATCACGTCTCCCGGCGGAGAATGTGGACCATTTTTGCGGATCGGCTGCGGGTACAAATTTTGTACCGAGAGCCCTGAAAATCTGCAGATATCCATGGACCATTTTTGTGGATCACGGATTGGATGAGGATACAAATTTTGTATCCATGCAGGGCTCTACCTGTCTTACTTCTGTCTATACCTACAACTTAAATCTATTTAGTACACAATGATTACATTTGAAATAACATATGAGATGACCATAACAATGATCAATGAATGATAAAATTAACTAATTGGCTCCATGAACCACGGAGACTCTTCCTTTTCCATCCCCACCTGCAAGAGCCGCAGTCTCTCTTCCCTGCATGCTCTTTGGATCTTCGAATTTGTCCCTCCCGAAGTCACATGGCCTGATTCTTATTTTTCACATTCTCCTTTGGCAGAAGAAATAGTCTGTGGCTCCTGAACGACACCATCTAATTTGCCAGCTTTCTCCACACACAGTGTTTTTTATACTCCCTCCCTTTACACCTGACTCACTAGATTCCCTAATGCCGCAGTATGTGCTTTCCTGACATCTAATGCTGCTTAGATCCTGCAAGAAGCAGTGCCAGGGAGACTTGCCCTCTGTCTGGAATCTTCACTTTCTGGGACATGCAGTTCCATTCTCTGTGTTTTAGGAGCCTCTTTGATAATGAGTGTCTGGCTGTGTGTGTTCCCAGCAAAGGTGGGAATAGTTAAATCCCTCATAAGCTGAGTGTTCTGCACCTTTGAGCACCTGGGGAGCTGGCCCTGAGATTTTATTGGTTTTAAATGGACTGGGGTTAAATTAACAGAATTTTTTTTAATGAAAAATAGCCTATGAATTCACCTGACGTCGCTTGTTTTCTTTCCCTTGAGCAGGGCTTCCAGTTTCCAAACCCTATGTGATCTCCCAGCTGGAAGGAGGGGAAGAGCCGTGGGTCCCGGATCTCCAGGGTTCAGAGGAAAGTGAGATCCTGAGAAGTCCCTGCACAAGTGAGGAAACATTAAACCAACCCAGACACTGTAAATGCCTGAGAGAAACAGCTGGGATTCCCCACAAAGACTTTGTGAGCTCAGAATAGTCCCCAGAAGATCTCACTCCTGGCTTCCTTCTGATTGTGATTGACACCTTGGCAGCAGCTCCCTCCTTTCCTACTGAGTGTTTGGATGGGATGTGGACAGGGCCGGCCTTTGGGAAAATGGCACCCTGGGTGAACTTGTATTTTGGTGCCCCTGGCCCCCATGGGCGTGGCACCCTCCCATTGCCCCTGGCCCCTATGGGCTCCCCACCCTTCCTTCCCCCCTAACCCCTGCACTATGCCCACTTCACCCCAAATGCCTGCTCCCATCCTGCACCTCTAATCCCTACACCCCCTTTATTCCTAACTTCTGCCCCCTACTGCACACCAACCCCTGCCCCTCCTGTGCCCCTAACTGCTGCACTGTGCCCCTTCACCCCAACTCCTGCCCCTCCCTCCTGTGCCTCAATCCATGCAACTCTTCACTGCTACGCCCTGAACCTCCCTCCTGTGCCCCTAACCCCTGCACTGTGCATGCCTCCTCATCCCAATCCCTGTCCACCTACTGCACCCCAACACCTGCCCCCTCCTGAGCACCTAACCTCTGCACTGTGCCCCTTCACACCAACCCCTGCATCCCCCTCCTGCACTCACGTGGGGAACCTGACCTGGATGCACAAAGAAGCTGGCATTGCTGCTCGCTCCCCCACTGGACTGCTGCTCCTCTGTCTCACAGAGCCCTGGGGGGCTGGGAATGGGGAGCAAGGAGCGATATCAGTGCTTCCTATATCCAGGTCACTTTCCCTGTGGGCTGTGTAAGGGGAGGGCAGGAGAGCAGCAGCTCCTGGTGCCTCAGCACAACCCAGGTGGGGAAGTGACCTGGATGTAGGGAGCCCTGGTGTGTATGTTGGGGGGATGGTGTGAAGGAGTGTGTGTGTGTGTGTGTGTGTGTCTTAAAGGGTGTGTGTGAAGGAGTGTGTGTGTGTGTTGAGGGGAGGGTATGAAGGGGAGTGTGTGTGTGCCTGAGTGAGTGAGCTCACTGTCTCTTTAAGAAAGCTCTCAGGGTCAGGAGCCTGAACTAGGCTTGTTCAGACACAAGCAGCTGCCAGCAGCTCTGGCCCCAGAGAGGCAGCAGCACACACAGATTCCCCCTGTCCCGTCACCCCAGCGTAGTGGAAATCGGGTACACGGGTGGGTGGGAGGGGGACACCCCACCATCAATCAGCCCCCACCCCCCCAGAGCAGTCAGGAGGATGCTCCCAGTCTGGAGTGGCCCTGGGTGACTGCATGGATGGGCGGAGGCATGCGGGGAGAGGAACAGCAGCAGCTGCACACGTGGAGCAGGGCGGAGGAGGGGCATCCCTGCTCCGGAGCAGTCACCTGGCTTTGACGTCTGGTCATCCAATGGCCCCCTGCAGCTCGGGTCTCTCCCCCTCCCCCACGCTGCTGGTCGCCTTCCTGCCATGCCGCCTCCATCAGCCCAGCAAACCTCTCATCAGCAGGTCAGGTGGGAATCCAAACTCTGTGCATGGCACCCCCTTGGGCAGGCCACCCGTATGGCCCACCCTAAAGGCCAGCCCTGGATGTGGAGCAGAATTGATTCCCCACTGTCCCGTATGGGGAAGAGTTTGGGGGAATTCAGTCCCTGATTTTTATTTTCTGTCTCTTCAGCACTTACTTGGGTTTGCTCTCTGCTTTTCCATCCCTAATTCTGAGATTTCTCTTCTATTCTAGCAGGTGATGGGGTGGTGAGGGAGAACAAGGAGCAGAATCCTCACTGGGAAGATGCTGAGCTAGTAGAACCGCATGGAGCATTACTGCAAAGATCCAAAGGGAATGTGTCCAGGCGCCATGAGCCGAGAAAAGCTGGTGAAAATTACCACAGACCAGACAGAGAGCAGGGAAACCAGTCAGAGGAGAAAGTGGATGAACCCATTAATTATCAGGAAACTCACAAGGACCTCAAGGAAACTACATCCCAGGAGAAAATCCTCATGGAAAAGAGAGAGTATACATGCAGTGAGTGTGGGAAAAACTTCAATTACCGCTCAGCCCTTATTCGACATGAAATAATCCACACGAAAGAGAGACCCTATGAATGCTGTGAGTGTGGGAAAAGCTTCAATCATACCTCAGCCCTTATTAGACATCAGCGAATACACAGAGGAGACAGACCCTATGAATGCTGTGAATGCGGGAAAAGCTTCACTCAGAGCTCAGACCTTTCTACCCATCAGAGAATCCATACGGGGGAGAGACCCTATGAATGCAGTGAGTGCGGGAAAAGCTTCAACCATAGCTCAGCCCTTCTCTCTCATCAGAGAATCCACACAGGAGAGCGACCCTACAAATGCTGCGAGTGCGGGAAAAGCTTCACTCAGAGATCAGCCCTTATCTCTCATCAGAGAATCCACACGGGAGAGCGGCCCTATGAATGCTGTGAGTGTGGGAAAAGCTTCACTCGAAGTTCAAACCTTACTACGCATCAGAGGATCCACACAGGAGAGAGACCCTATGAATGCAGTGAGTGCGGGAAAAGTTTCACTGACATCTCCTCCCATATCTCTCATCAGAGAGTCCACACGGGAGAGAAACCCTATGAATGCTGTGAGTGTGGGAAAAGCTTCTCTCAGAGCTCAACCCTTATTACACATCACAGAATCCATACACAACAGAGACCCTATGAATGCTGTGAGTGTGGGAAAAGCTTCACTCAAAGCTCAGGCCTTATCTATCATCAGAGAATCCATAGAGGAGATAAACTTCATAAAAACCTTCTCTAGAGCTGTTAGAAGACTTTTTTTCTTTAATTCTTTTGACAGTTCCCAGGTAGTGACCATTAAGGCTGTTTGCATCTTTTGCACACTGTAGTCCCTCAGCTCCCACACATGAGTTGCCCACTTTTGAAGGCTGCCCTTCTTTGGGGTGGATCCTGTGGTCCTTTCTATCAACTCCATTGTCCTGTGCGTCATGGGAGTGTGTGTCCTTTCTACCAGGAATGTCCATCACCCCAGGTGGGGGAGAAAGGGGGTGTCTTCAACCAGCTACATTGAGATAAAATCTACCTGGGCCTCATCTCTGTGGTTTCCATGGAGTTAGCTAGCTTGAGTTTGCTTTCCTGATGTAAAAAGACAGCTATTCTTGCAGTAAAGACATGGGCCATGGAAAGTGGATGGGGTTATCTAGCACAGTTCCTCCTGATCTGACCTAACCACCACCACATTTCCTCATCTACACCGACCTGGAGATTCACATTTATACTCTTCCTCCAGTGAAAAGTTATTGTTCAAGTCGTCAAGTTCCTCTCTGAGGACAAATTGTCTCATTCCCAGTTCTCACATTACCCTGGATCGTGCGGAACAGTAATTATTTTGTTGACTATTTTTCTCATTTAAAATATATTCAAATGTAATGAAGAGCTGGAGCAATGTCAGGGAAGTAAGTGTCATTTCAGGCTCTGTGACACTGGAAGGAGGTGGGGTGACTCAGAGATTCCCTCCTTCCCCATCACACCAGAACTGTTACCTTGTATCTGAGCCATGCAGAGTTCACCCCCTTCATATTCCTTCACTTCCCAAATTGTCCGGTGAGGTCGTGTTCTTGGCTGTCCGTGCTTGGGAATGGTGTGTGGATGTCTTTGCAGATACTTTAAGGCTCCCGTCTGTATGTTCTGGGGACAGTTGCTCACCTTCAGTGGAACGTTCCTGAAATTGGCCTCCATCACCCTGTGGTACATTGATCTCCATGCGGACAGGGCCAAAGGGAGGGCTTGCTGCTGTGGCCACTTTGACTGTGAGGGAGGCCACTGCTCTGGCTTAAACCATCCTGCGAGCACCTTCCACCTAGCCACCCAATGAAAAGCCCTGGCTGGGATGAGTTAGTTGGTGTTGGTCCTGCTTTGAACAGGGGGACAAGGGACATGGGTTCCAAAACCCAGTGAAAAAAGAGAGGCTGGAGACAAATATTTGTATTTGAGTGTATGATCCCCTTTGAGGGCTTGAAATACCAATTGTATCTTCTTCTTTCTCTACTGTGGATGCTATTAAGAGTCTAGTTACAGACTGCTCAGCTGAATTCACTTTGGGCTAATGGTGTACTACCACTGAGTTTCCCTTACTACAAGCTGAAACCACTGAGTGCTGTGGAAGAATGTGAAGATATATTACTGGTAGAGCAGTTTGTGGAATGACTGGAGTGGAGCAGTTCCTGGAGTGGCTTGGGGTGAAAGCTGCAGCAGAATCCCATGGAGAGGCAGGGCAGTTGGTCTTGGACCACGTAAGGTACCTCTTAACACTGCTGTGTGCTCCGCCCCGAGGCTGGGAGGTAAAACTCTACAGATAAACTTTTGAACTCAGGAGCTGCACTGACTAGGGACAGAGACTTTTGGGTTGTTGGACTTTGGGTGATTTTTGGGTTGCTGGTCTTAAGACCCTGAGGGGAAAAGGATACTGCCAAACTTACTTGGGGGGGGGGGTCTTTTGCTCATGGTTTGTGTTATGAATCCTGTTTGTGATGTTTCCCCAACATAATGCCACATTGTTTCCCTCCTTTATTAAAAGGATTTTGCTACACTCAGACGCTGTGCTTGTGAGAGGGGAAGTATTGCCTTTTAGAGGGGGGTGGTATGTAATTGTCTCAGGTCACTGGGTGGGGGCTCGAGATGGTTTTGCATTGGGTTATTGAAACGGAACCCCTAGATACTGAACCCAACCCTTGTTGCTTCCAACTCAGATGGGCAGAAGGGTTATACAGGCTTTTCAGGTACAGGGAGACTAGTGAAGGCTGCATAGCCTGTTGACATTGTGCTTCATTCCCCAGAGGGGATCAGTCCTGGGATCCTGGCAGTCAGTCTCTCTTAGGAGTGGGAAAGTCGACCATGGGACGCACGTTGACAAAAGAGTGCAAGGCCATTAATTGCATTCTATTCTGAAAGACCATGATTCTGGGCAACGTGCGTGACATTGCA